TTACTTGGAACATTGCAAAAGACATGTTGTCGTGAAACAGATTGACGAATCGTTCTCTAATGGAAACTTGGCTGGGTTGTGTAATGTTGAGGTAGAAGTGATCGTCTCGGAACATGTCGATGCTGTTCACGTTGATTCTCTTGTCCTTCATGTCAACGAGATTTATCCCTCTGTATCTGTTTCTGCTCACCCTGGTGACGGATTCAAATCTGCTAGGATGAGAGTATATGTAGAGGTAGGCGTTTCTCCGAATGAGAGGTAGTAGATGAAACGGATCGGATAGGTTCTGATTTGATTGCGGACCCATGGGACCTCTGGTTCCTTGAGGACCTATGGGGCCGATGATTCCTTGGAGACCCACGGGACCTCTGTTTCCTGGAGGACCGGTTGGACCGATGGTTCCTTGGGGACCCATGGGACCTGTGGTTCCTTGATCACCTTGCACACCACGTTCACCTTGTGGGCCGTCTTGTCCATCTTCTCCTCTAGGTCCAATCTCACCTTCAGGCCCGACCAATCCACGTTCTCCACGTGGTCCAACTTCACCTCTGGGACCTTCTGGACCAGGTATTCCTTGATCACCTTTTTGACCGCGTTCACCACCTTGCCCATCAGCTCCTCTAGGTCCAGTCTCGCCTTCAGGACCGATCAATCCACGTTCTCCACGTGGACCAGCTTCACCTCTTGATCCATGAAGCCGACCAAACGCCATCCATTTCAAGCTGAATTTCTTGTACACGATGAGCGTGGTTGCATCGAGATAGAAGTCACCATTTCTCCCTACAGAGTTCAGTGGCATGCCACCTCCGCTAAGCCATCCCAATCCCCGATCACCACGAGGTCCTTTCATCTTGCGCACAGTGTCCATACCAGTTTGCAATCTCGATGATGCTTGTTGGATTTCGTTCCTCACCCATCCAGCAGGGACAGCACATGACGAAGAGTTACTATAGTCAAACGTTACATTACAGATGGAGTGCTGATTCATGTCGAGGTTAGCATCCATGGTCACGGATCCATCTGTTTTCACGTGCAGCTCATCAGCTGCTATGGCTTGATCTGTGTAGCGCGTAGATCTGTTTTCCACATCTTCCACTTTGCTCTCATCGGCTTTCTCCTCCTTCAGTTTCTCCACATCATGAACCAAGGTGTTTTCGGTGTCATCGTTCCCCACAACTGATTGTATTTCGGTAATATCATTCTGCATGCTTTGCATGTGCTTGAGGGAAGTCTCCTCCCCATCACTCCTATGGAAATGCGTAGCCCAGTACGCCATCTTCACACACACACACACACACACACACACACACACACACACACTGTTCTAATTATGATAGGAAATATTTTCTTTCTCAAATAAATCATTATGATACTCATGTGTGCTAGTGGTAATCTAATGAAGCGATGATATGTTAGCAAGAGAGAGAGAGAGAGAGCAAGAGAGCATGAAAAAAAAAAGGGTTAGGATATAAAGTCTTTCTGATCAATCAATATGGTAAGATAGACTAAGCATTTAGCAGATTCAAGTCCAGTGAATTGTCCGGTAGGGTGTCAGGGAGAGACGCTGCCGCCGCCACCGTTGTGTCAAACGCAATGTCAGCAGTCACGTTGTCAGCAGTGCTCCACTTCTTGAGGAATGCAATCACCAGTCGAGTCAATTCAGTCTCGGGAAGGTCTTGCACGGTGTCGTGATCCCTTTCACAAAGCCGTGAGTCTACAAACATCAGGGGGATTGCCGAAAGCCATGCCTTGAATTCGCACTTCTCCCTGTTGAAAGATATAGTGGAAGGATGCAGATAGAGCTGACACTCTTCGTTCATCGGGAAGTTGGGCACACCCTTGGTTGGCTTGAGATACAAAGCAGTCACACTCTTCCCTTGGTACATTGCAGGGAAGATGTTACTCCGTATCCTGTTGATATGTGGAGATCTCACGGCACGTCTCAAAGGTGTTGAGGTCTTCAGGAAGAATTGAATGAGATCGTCTTGTGAAGCCTGGACGTACAGCTTAAGTTGACCAAAGCGTCCTTCACATACCGTGCCATTGACAAGCATGCCCGGTAAATCACCGCGCGTATAGTAGAAATCGGTGCCAGGAGCAACATGATAGTCGTGGGCGGTCTTGCTGTACATTGCTTGAACACACTCTGCTGCCCCATCCGTAATAATGGTGGCGACACCTGGTAGTATGGTAGGACGAGGAGATGGCATCTTGATCTTAGGCAGAGGCTCCAGATTCGGATTACGGCTAGCACGTCGCTTGTAGAGACCGGGTTTCTTTATCGTCTTGATAGCGAACGGGTCAATACCCAAACAGTCCACAACATCTTCACCAGCAACAACAGCATCAGTGGCCATCATGATATCAGTCACGAGAGATCCAGAGAGATCCAGAGGGAGAGAGAGAGAGAGAAGGCTTGAGCAACGAAACAACAAAGGCAGTTGTGAGTGAATGGAGGACTGTGCTTGCACATATATACCCTTTTGACCGCCGCCGAGTTTGAAATAACATCCTATGGGAGGTGACGACCTTGGAGAACACGGTGAAATTGTTCAAGAATCAACCAATCAGAGGACACGGTGAGCAGATGATAAGATTTAACCAATCACAGCACGACTTGCACTTGACCTGTCGGAACATGTCTCGGTCATGACTGAACGTGTCTCGACCATGTCTCAGAACAGGTTCCCGAGAGTGTAAATCTCCAACGCATTGCTAACGTTGATGACGTACTGCAGTCTTGGTAAATTGATAGAGTATGTTGGCAAGATCAGGTGGTAGAGAGGTCACGTGATCTACTAAATAATCCAGACTGTAGTCATGCCAACAATAGGCATCTATTAGAAGATGCATCATGGACAGGTCTGCAGGTGACATCAAGGACAAATTAACTTTCAGAGTGTTCAGCTGTCTAGCGGACAGAGGACCCTTGATGTGTTCCATGAGATGTAGAAGAAACATCAGTGGAAAACATGATGGAAGAGGTTGTGTAATGCGGCTGCTTCTCAACCATGATACATTACTGCGCGGTAAAGAAGAACGCAGTGTGCGCACTGCATCATGATCCTCATGAAGTATACACGATAATGCTATTGCATAGTTCATGCTTTTATAGCTGCTGGACTTCTTCATTGCTTGCAGTGCCTCTTGAACAGGGTGAAACTGTGCATGCGGTAAAGTGAAGTCGATCTTGTTGAGAAAATGTACAAGATGACGATTCACACCTTGAATGCGATCGGAATCCGTGTAGGTCTTTATGCTAGTACAACGCTCTCTCCACTTTACCTCGGGCATGTAAATGTCCGCCATTACCAATCCACACTGAGAACAAACTCTATGACCAGCATGCTCAACTTGTTCTTCACGATGATAACACACTTCTTCACTTTCCTCTATCTCCTTCTTCTTCTTCTTCTTCTTCTTTTCCTCCAGCGCACATTGCTTCTTTGAACGAACATAAGCATACAGGATCTCAAATTCAGAATCCATTTTCACTGCACCACAACAACTTGAAACTGATTGGATCATGATTCAAGAACACACCTTTTATACTTACATAATCATGACACCATATTACCTTATTGTTTAGGGTAGAGCATAACACCCCAATACATATTTTCAATAATACCCCCTTTTTTTTTGAGGTAGGGGCACCCCCTGGCACATATTTTTATCCGCAAAAAAACCGGGCCAAAAATAATTTTCACCGCAAAAATGGGGTACTATTAGTACCCCATTTTTCAATAATACCCCATTTTTTGGGACCCGGGCGCCCCCTGTCCCAGAACCCGCTCGTTACTTCCTACTCGCGCATGCAGACACACACACACACACGCGTGCACGTGCAAACATGCAAACACACACGCACACACACACACACATGAAAACACACACATGAAAATACACACACATGAAAACACACACACACACACACACACACACACATGAAAACACATACACACACACATGAAAACACACACACACACACACCTGAAAACACACACACGTGAACGCGCATTGTTGTGTTGTTGTACTGTATTGCTCAACAACAGAAACTGATCATGCGGGTCTTCTTGGGAGAGGGGAGAGAGATTCATCAGGAATCAATGAAAGATGACTCAATTGGCTATTGAATCATCCCTCCCCCCCCCCCCCAATCCCAGACAAGGAAACCACTATTGACTCTGCCGATACCTCCTCTGTGCCACATGGGCGCACACACACACACACCATGTACCATGTACCATGTATACGCACGTCGCAAGAGAAGCATGCAAATCTGCAAATGCACTGGATGTGCACCCACAGATTTTCTCTTTATAGCAATGATAGCGGATCTGATTCTGATTGAAACAGATCAAGACAAGCACCAGATAACTGTCTAATCCACACAACTGGCGAAGTCATGTGAATCGACCCCCCCCCCCCCCCCCCAATGCACACCTGGTCTACACCACACGGCGTACATCGGAATAGGACGGCTAAGACAGTTACCTATGCACACCCTACACTTGCTGGGATAGACCAGTATAGACAGCACGCTGCTTTGATAAAAGCAGACAGTAGATGCACTGGCACCTTGAAGTGAAATTAGAGTTATTTTACCAACCAGCCTCGGCAACTGCATACACACACACACACACACACACACGCACACGCACACACGGCTTCACAAACCTGGTACTCGTGCAGCTAAACGCTAAACTTTGTGCGGCTCTTCTAAAATGGGTGAGTTTGTTTTCTTTGTAGCCATACAGTATGTTATTACTGAACCCCATTCTCCCAGACGCCTATTAGTGTATTTCCAACAAGAGTGTTGGGGAAATGTAAACGCACCGGAGTTTCTGGACGGACAACTCCCGATACATCAAATGGAGACAAACATCTCCCGGCACAACAAAGGCACAGTTGTTAATTAAAATTCATACTATTATTACAAAAAATTTGATGAGACCTGACCGGTTTCTGCACGTAGAGTGCTTCATCAGAGGAATACGCACCTTGCTGACAAACGGTGTTCACTGTGAGGTACTCTATGCGTGGTGGCACTGTCACAGTGACCTGGCTGGGGATGTCGAACGTACAGTCCGGACTCTTGTTGAGCAACGGCGAGCACGCCGTCACCTGGCACGGTCCAGTCGTCCAGCTACTGGTGCAGGCCAATAGTATTAGCACTAACAGTCGAGTCATGCTGCTGCTGGCTGCTGCTGGTTGGCAGTGCCAAGTCGACCAGGCTGATCCGCAGTTTGTCCAGTGCGTGGCGTATGGCCGGCCGTGCCCTGCCTCAGACACACGCCGGAGCTATTCGGTGTGCGCAGTCTGCAAAATGGCGGTCAACACACGCCGAACACTAGAACATAGAGAGCTGCGTGTGGAGTCTTCTGAAGTTCTGTTCCGCGTTCATTCACATCCACTATTAAAACAATTCGCAAGGATATTCAAAATTTAATACAATCATCGTGCATCAGGGAGTCGTGACGACTCCCTCACGCCGGCGCCCTACATTTAATTGTAGGCCCTGACAATCATGACTCGTAGTCGTACCTACTTTTTTTTTTTTTTTTCAAAATGAAATGAGGCCTCGACCTCTTCAAAACAAAATAAAATAATTTAAAATTGGAATGAGTAATTATAAAATTATCATGTAGCCGGGGTAAGTGGAAAGTGGCATACCCAAAGAAGTTTAATAAAAGTGTCTGTGGGCAAGTAGCAATAAAGCGTCGTGATGAGGAGTTGGAGCCCTTCGCCCAGATACTGACATGATGTGGAAAATTGCGTGAAATAATTTGGAACAAATGAAACCTGAAAATGGACATGTGGAGGCTTTCGCGTCGCCCCCACACACGCTCTTCTCTAGCTGCTCCCGCCGTAACGTTAGCTCCCAGCACGAAGAGCTGCACATTTGGGGAAAGGTGAAACGGCAGCAATCATACCGGAAGAACGCAGTCCGATCAACAAGCAAATATGAATACATGCTTCTGCCAAGTTCTTACAAGCAGCAAATATGAGAAAAGACGAAATGACCAACTACGGTTGCCATTGGCCGATCTCTCGTCTCATCATACGCAGTATAACTATTATCGGGATCTGTACGAGAGCTTCAACGCTGGAATGGTGTACTGCAACAAATGCCTCAGTATGGGCTTGACTACTTTGAGGATGAAATCATCTTCGTTAGGCCGATACGACTATTGAATGTGAGTGTGACTATGCAGCGATGCATTGTAACTCTCATTTGTAAGCACTTTCTTCGTCTTTTCATCAACTCGCCAGCCATCACGACGAGGGGAGAAGGATATCGAGGAGGATTAAGCACTTACAATCGGAGATGCAACTCAGGCTACAGAGACAGATGACAGTGTCACACTAGTCCAAAGTTGCACCGCCAGACCTGCTCGCTTGGAGAAGATTAGTTTTCATGTGCGGCTGTACTGCAGTACAGCCCCGAAGCACATTACTCTTGTCGCAATTGTTGCTTTGCACCATCTGTTTCAAAGTTCAAAGCTTTATACCAGTATCAGTATGGTGAACCACCTTGGCCACGGTGCTGCATGCATACAGGTTTAGAGCTCAAAACTGCGTTGGCTGGATGCCAAGCCAATAATCATCAAGCAACTGCAGCGTCTCTTCCCATGGGAGGCGTGATCGGCAATGATCTGTGCGAAGAAACATTGTTGGGATAAGTCACAACCCTCTGTGCAAATGGCATACTTGTGATGGCATACTTGTGCAGTCATCTCAACGTGCACATGTTCACAACTCAGCAGTGTCTCCTGCAGCTGTGTCAGCCTTCAGTCCATCAAGGCGAAAGCGCTCAACTGTTGTACAATGTACCTACCAATGTCTTCCCATTTTTATCCTACTCTCGTGATCCGTTCCACCTGCTTTCCCTGCAACCAATTATGTGGACAGGATTCAGGGGCATAGCTGGTCCCCCTAAGCCCCCTTTAGGGGATGCATGGCCGCATTCAATGTATGTGTGGGCTGGCTGGTCCATGTCTTTCATGGTCATAACGGTGCATGCTGAACCAAGGTCGAAATGTTTAGGGAGGTGCACGTGCCCCCATGACCTATGCCAGCTACGCGCCTTCATCCGCACACAATGTTCACCATCACTCTAAACTGCTTCATTTCATCTGGATGATGCCACACATTGGTGTTATGAAGGAGATGTCATAAGCCAGTGTTATGATGATGAAGTCTGTCGCATTAACAGCCACAACGGTCGGCATGGTCTTCTTGGATCACACGGTCTTTCAACTCTGGTCTGCCAGTGTATGTACTTTATTAGCAATACATGTACAGGTATGTCCAGACTGGTATGTTTTTGTGTTGTTGATCATTCTTTATGGGTTGTCTATCTGGTTTGCAGCGACTTGTGCAGACGTTCAGTGTTGTGTTTCTTTCTGTGGACAATCTGCAACCACTATACAATGCACACTGCGCCGGCATAACGTTATTCTGAATATTCTGTACGTTGCATGGATCTGAGATGTTAGATCAGACTAATCAGAAAAGTGGCTGCTTCATGCTGCAGCCAGTCATGTTCTGATGAAATGGCATGCAATGACTCCTGTACATTGTATACTTCAAAATAGTTATTGTGTACGGTCTCATGGTATTGACATATTGTATTGCACTCGTACATGTAGTGTATGTGCATGTACATGTATGGTGCAGTTTGCTCAGTTTTGAGTTTTTCAAGTTCAAATCATGTTTTAGCCTTCCAGTGAGATCCAGGAAGGAAACATTCTGTTTACATGACCCTCCAGAAAAGTTATATTGCCAAAAAATAGGGCTGAAACGAATGCTCAATGAAGCGAACGAATATTCTTTTTCCGAATACATGTGAAACGAAGAATATTCCGAATATTCTAAACCGTACAATATCCATGGATACCTAGTTGTATCCATGGTAACCATAGACTATTGACTGGTGTGTACCCCAAGAGAGATGTGTGAAAAGGACAATGTTATCATTCATCTTGCTGATGGTAACACATTCTGAAGGTGGCAACTCTACTCGTATTTTGCACCAAAATTAATATGCCTGGTTTTCTACCCAAAAAGGCGATTTTGTGTACATTTACGAATATTCTTATTCTACTTTAACGAAGAATATTCTTATTGCGGTCTGCATATTTCGAATATTCCTTTCAGCCCTACCAAAAAACCATTACAATTAGCCAGAAAGTCCATTTTAGGTTCCGGTTACCATAGCAACCAGCGCTGAATTTAGTTTTACTCCCGGTGCAACCCTTGGACAAAATCAGGAATGACAACAAGTGGTTTTTCAACGTATGCCAGCCCATCTATCGACTGGGTAAAAAAAATTGCGGTGCCCTCTTCCTCGGAACGAAAATTCACATTTTTGCCACTAGGCCCACAGACTACCGGGGATACCTGATAAAGGCTGATTCACTGGCATCTTCTGCTGCATGTAGTCATGTACTGTATCAGGGTGAGAAAGAACTTTGAAAAAGACAAGTTCGAACACAAAAAATGTATTGCCATGATTTCTACCCTGCTTTTCATTGAAAACACTATCTGCATGACCTCCGAACCCTTTACCATGCAGACCACCAGCACTGATCAGGTGCATTGTACACAATTGTGTCGCCTACATACTAGAACTGTGATACAATCATGCAGTTATGCTCCTACCTCCGAAAGGATGCCAAATTATGCTCCAATTTTTTCAACCACCAAATTACGCCAATAATTATGCCGGCATAATCCGCCGGTGCCTAGCGAGCATCTTTGGGAAAAGGCTAGCGTAGGGCCCTGAGCGAAAGAAATAAACTTTCTCTTGTCATTCGAGGGTATTACGACACCGTCTGCCACCTTGATGACCCAGGCAAAAATAAGGATAGGGATGTTAAAAAAAATTCATTTCTCCTATTACTCAATCTGCGGACAGTATTTCTCCTATTATATTTTCAAGACATAACCTAGTTAACCTCGAACCCGAGCTATCGACATGCAGGCATTCCCCCGATACACTTCGCATACATACTCATTCTTCAAAGTTGCTTCACGTTATGATCTTGCATTTGAAAGGCCTTTTTGAATATTGTGGGGGGGGGGGGGGATTTGTGGCCATGGCCAGCTTTCTTTGATGGTACGGTACGGGACAGGTACGGGATAACGCCAGGCATGCCGACGGCACAAACATATTAAATAGGGAAATGAATAATAGCAAGAGTACATAACTACACAGCTAATTGACAAGGTTTTTCATGCTGTCTGCCAGGAAGTGATTGATTCAGTTGAGCAAATGCAGATCACCTCAGCAGGCAGAACAACCACAAGTGGACTCAACCTCAGAGACAGGATCCATGTTTAGTTTCTGATTATTTCGAGCACTGCACATTCTTCGTATCTCCTGCTGTTAATTTCCTAATGCTCTGTATTTCTTGGTGTTTGCGTGTGCATGCTCCATATGAATCGTACCTCTTGCTGTTGATTTTCTCATGCTCCGTATTTCTTGCTGTTCTACGTGTACATGATTTGTACGGTAACAGTACCGGTATCTCTTGCTGCTCATATGCTCATGGCTCCCTCATCTCTTGCTTTTTATGCACGCAAGCTTCTTATCTCTTGTGGTTTATTTGCGCATGCTTCGTACCAGTATCTTTGCTATGGGAAAAAAATTTCCATTCGTTTTGATCATCATAAGCTGCTGGTATAAAAGACACAGCACTGCACTATAATCGCCCTCATTTTCCAGTGTCTTGACCTTACCTGATGAGAGTTATTTTACTCGAAACAGCTGTCGTAAGGAACTATTTCCAGTATCGAGCAAATTGATAATGTCCTGCTGTTGGTGGTGGTGTAAGAGAGTTTGTGTCGGCGTAGAGCGCATGTTTGGTGGTGGTGTAGAGAATATTGACTACTAGTATGCTCAAGAGACTGTCTAGTTATGTACTCTTGGTATGCTTCGTATCTCTTGCTTTTTTCATGCAATTTTTCGTTCCTCTTGCTGTGTGCGTACGGGCGGATGAGGCAAATAATTGTTGCCTGAACAGTCTACACAGTCCTAATGATGACCTTGTGCCCAGCAAAGTGAAATTCTTTCCTGCTCAAAGCACATTGCACGCATGCATGGAGGCCCAGTGTGCGGACGAACATGTAGACAGCAGCACAAGCCATTGTCAAGTGGTCTCTTAGGTCTGAAGCACACACCACAGACCAACATCTGGGGGAAAAAGGACCAACAGGTGGCCAAAGATGTCAGCACTGAATCACATCTGTTTCATAGGCCAATTTTACAAAACAGAATAAAATTGTATCAGGTAGTCTGGTCACGACATGATTATGAGCTTACAGTGCATTTCAAAACTATAGACGCGTAGGGTTTTTGAAATATTTCAAATTTGGCTGGAACTTTTTGAGAATAGTTTTCGGAATATTGCTCAGCATCGCTCCACAATT